GGGGGGGGGGGGGGGGGGGGGTGGGTGGGGTTGAAAAATTTTCACATGTAAACGTTATGGCTCCTGAGTTGACGCACTAAAAATCGGCCTCTTTGGTAACGCGTGGTTTCTCGCGAGCGGATTTCGTGTAGACTCGCGTGAACTATGGGTATTGACGTCATTTGTTCCCAGTCCTCTGAAAATTCCTGTTTGCCACGAAAGCAAGTTACATACAAAATGGCTGTTGTCTGTTTCACGCAAGGAACGTGTGTGATGGAACAGAGCGACAACAACATGTGATTTAACACAGAAACGACTCGTTGATCCCCTACACCGGGATTTGGTCCACTCACTTCGTCGTTATGAGTCGGCCTGATTTGTTATTGCTGGTGACATGCCTTTTCCTTGTTTATGCCGGTGTAAAATGCAGTCATTCCGCAATGACGCCCGAAGAGAAACACACAATGAGGTATGTTTGTTTATCGGGGTTTTAGGCATGTTATTTGCGCTATAATTACATTTATCATTTCTTTTCAAAGGGAGAAAGTCTTGGAGATGTTTCACCATGCCTACAACTCATACATGGTTAGTAAATTGTTTAAAAAAGTCAACGATTTGCTCATAAACAGGAGTTACGAAAATGTTCTATTTTAACGTTTATTGATAGATATGGTTCAAAGGACGTAAACACGCTTAAATTTAACGAGGTTTCATGGGGCAAGGAAAGTGGAATCATAAAAAATAGTAATAGCGTGGTAGTTTTCATGAGGTTAATAAGTCGTGTACTTACAACTGCTGAAGAAACTCAATTGTCTGTTTATAGGCTAATGCGTAAAAATGTAAGCTCATGACTTGAGCTTTTACGTGGAGTGAAGGTCAGGAATAGGGGATATATAACAAAACGTTGTTTCGCGTTGTCTTTGAAAAGCTTACATGAAGCCAGTAGTGTAAAAGATATAAACCTGACAGAGAAATATCAGATTTTTTTTGTTTGGAGTGAACAGGCATATCATGTGTAAAATGTGTTGAATTATGTGTAAGCATTCAGAGTTAACAAGTGTTTTATATACATTCTATACTGAGAGTCAAGGGCATTCAAGGGCTCTCATATTTTCCTATAATGATTATTAGTTTTCGTGATGAATGTTTTTTTTTGGCTAAAGGGAGTGTTGTAAGCAATGCGTATTCATACATTTACTCATTATAATATTACCCAAGAACCAGCTGTTTTGTGTGTACTTATGTCACATAGCAGACACTCTCACTCATCATTACACCAGTTCAATGTGGCTCACTCTTGAATTTGTTTGGCACCAATTAGCTAAGTTTATGATATGCATAATTTTGCAAGATTGGAGGGGAAACATTAAAAGCTTGAAGCTTGCTAATTTGAGTAGAGAAACCAACAGTATCAACAAGATTCAAAAGAATCTTTCTTTATTTACTTCAGTTTAGGAGAAGAAGTAGTTTGACATCTGAGCAAAGTAGCTAACACTTTTTGTCTGCCATCAGTGCTCATCATCACAGCGTATTGTACAGATTTACCTGCAATGGTACATCCTACCATTTCTAACCACCTGAAATGCCAAGATTTGGTAGTTGTTGAGGGAGAGAGGTTCAAAGTAAAGTGCATTAACTGGCAGTGCCGGAATGTGTTTTTTAACATTTGGATAGGTAGTCACTTAGGAGAGAGCTGGTCACAGAGGGAAGTTTGACAAAGGGTGGATGGTGCGTGGTGTTACTCTTGATGTAATGTCAAATTTTCCTTTTGTTTTCATTAGCAATCTAATACAAGCAGGGCTAACAATAAGGGCCAGTAGCTGGCCAAAACCGCCGGCTAGTTAGCCATTCTTAGCCGGCTACTTTCATCTCCTTCTAAAATAAGTGCTAACAAAAAATAAGCACCATCAAAGAAAATTGTAAAGCATCCATTTCCCAGTTTTGAATGACACATATAGGTTTAGATCTGTGAAATGTTCAAACCGTGCGATCTCTTGGAACGGCTGGGACAGTACAATAAAGGTCTTGCATGTATTCTGACGAAACAACATGGCATCCGTGGTGGAAAATAGCTCTTAAAAACCCCTGAAAATGCCATTTCCAAGACTCTAATTTTCAAAATGTCCCTAGATGCCTTGGCCCTCAACAACTTGTGTCTTTGGTGCGAGTTCCAAAGCTGCCTACTATTCATTATCAGCCTGCTACTTAAAAACTTTTTGACAGCTCTGACAAGACAATCTAGCCACTTTAATTTTCCATTCGTTATTTTTTTTAATCACCTTCTACAGCTGTATATTTATGGAGGCATCTTAAGCATAATCATTCAAAGATCCACTCTTTGTAATTTTCAGTTATGACCCAGTTCACTTATATCAATAACTTAAATTAAGGAATGATAGTTGGATACTGCATGATTAAAAAATTGAGTGAAATTTCCATACAGCCATCATACATAACTTATACATGCATTACGCTTTAATTCTCCCTTCTAGCCAAACAGTGAAGATGAATACATGTAATCCAGAGTTTCAGTTAGAAACTGTAGATTCTTCTAAATTCCTTCTGTATGGATATGGCAATGTACAAATGTACAATCAAATTTATAAGAAAATGGCCATTACACTGTATACAGGAGGTGTCTTGAATTCCTGTAAAGGACTCTTGTTGCTATGTGGTGATTGTTTGATCAGTTGCACTAAAGGTACATGCAGGCTATGACAATTTTTTGTCCACTTTGATTTTGTTTTCTCATCATTTGAAAATATTCAATAATTGAATTATCTTCCGTTTTGGTCTGTAGCTTCTTTGAAATATGTAGATTAGGTCGGTACAGATTATGTACATCCAAGCTTCTTCAAAGCATTTTTGAAATTGTGATGATAACAATATCAGTTTTTCAAAATTTACACTATTGCTACATGTAGCAGTACACTGTCAGTGATGTCTTGTTCAGTTAATTAACATTTAAGTATCAGTAGTTTTTACAATCTGCTTAGTTATATTTCTTGAGGAGTCCTTAACATTGCTCTATGTTTAAGAAAATGATTAGCAATGTGTGAGGGTGCTAGGGATGACTATACCGCTGTAGGTGAATAGAAAATCTTACGCCTTACAAGCAAAGTGAGGTGATCATTGTAGAAGAAATTCAGTCCAAGGTTGTGGCAGTACTGATTGAGTACAACAAAGTCCACACAAACGGCCATAGGGTAAGGTTTTTTATATTGTTCTCTTGCCAGACTCTTAAGTTACAAAACTGAGTCCTCAATGCTGGAAAGAAAAAATAAGTATGACAGAAGATATCTCAGCTTCTGCCTTTTTTATTTTGAGTTTACCAGGTATTGGACAAATGTTGCCTGATTTCCAAATTTTATTATAGTGATTTCATAAAATGATTTTAGGTTGTGTCACAGGAAGGTTTAAGTACTGTCCTGGCCACTGTGTATTGCAATCATAATGTAGTTTTCATTTTGCCTGACAGGACCATGCATATCCAGCTGACGAGCTCATGCCTCTTAGTTGTAAAGGCCGTGTGAGAGGTGTAGACCCAAGTCGGGGTGATGTAGATGATGCTCTTGGAAAGTAAGTCAATGCTTCACAGGCATATAGTTAAGCTCTTATCTCACTAATAAATTGAAATGGTTTATTTTGTTGTTTTAAGGTACATGTAACTTGTATTATTTTGTCTGCAAAGGTGACCATCATTATCAAATCTTACATTTTACTATAATTATGAGATTTTAGAATAACACTAAATTCACTGTGATGTATGGACACCATAAGGGAAAATCCATTTTACAGGTCAAACCTGTTATGATTAATTAGCTTTCAAGGGTCATACATGTAAGACATGCAGTCTGAAAGAGTGTGCGGGTATTTTTTCAGATGAGCCACAATAATAGTAGATGTAGACGATTGTTGCTTCTAATAATAATAATATTAACATGTATTTAACTTTAGTTGGTATGATATCAGTAAAGATTTTACCAATGAAGTAAATGTAGTTTTCCTGTGTAGGTGTAATAATGACGAAACAGCTCCATAACTGCATTATTATTTACTGTCTTTTTTTTCTAGATTTTCCTTGACTTTAATTGACACACTAGATACATTAGCGGTAAGTCCTGTTGTCAGCCTGTGATTCATCTTGAATTTTTTTTACTTTGATTTTCTATACTTGCTTTGTACTCAACAATTTTTTGTTGTAGGTTCTTGGTGAAATCGAGGAGTTTGAAAAGGCAGTGAGACTTGTTATCAAGGATGTTTCATTCGACAATGATGTGGTTGTTTCCGTCTTTGAAACCAACATAAGAGTGTTAGGGTAAGATAGACTTATGGCCTAAAGGAGCATTGTCAAATAAAAGGTCATTTTTCATTTAGCTCAAAATTGCCTAGGCAGTTGCCTGTGACCTTCAATATTCTTTTTATTTGTTCGAACAGTCATTTCACAAAGAGATGCTCTAGACCAGTTCAGTAATATTGTATTATTATAGTTCTCCTTATGTGAGGGTACGAGGCCAAAAACTGCCTGAAACCTGTACCCTTCAGTCAGTCAGTTATGCCAGTGGAATATACAGTCAACTTTCTCTTATTGGACACCTCTTTAAGATGGATGCCTTCAATAGTACAGACATCTCTCTACAATGGACACAGTGCCTGCAATCCCAAAGGTGTCCATCTTAGAGAGCTCTAGAGTGTACTAGATGTAGTCATACATGTCAACTCTCCCAGATTAGACACCAATCTCACGGTCTCCTGTACAGGTCACCAAATCTCCGCGATAATATTCAGTTATGAGCATTTCTGTGCTGTAATTTAGAAATTATTCCATTTTCTTCCAAATTTGAATTTTCTCTGATTCATAGTTCAGTTTCTGGGGCATTTTTGCACATATTTCATCACTGACAAAAATTATTTCGCCATTACAGTCATAAGAGCAAATTGTGATGGTCTGTACCTCATGTAAGACTTCATATAATAAATGCCAAAGAGAGAGTCTCCAGATTTTAGACTTCCAGAGATTGGCATCTATGTGTAGTATAGACTTATGACAGATAACTCATGCATTTCTGGTTCTCACAGCTGATACATTTTACTCTTGTTATTATTAATGTACTATGCACATGTATCACGAAAATTGGCCACACCCTTGCACTGGAGACTGTGTATCCAGGGTGCATTGATTATTACATGTACTGACATTCTGCAAAACAAGGCTTGCATACAGTAATGTGTGGTGAGACACACCTTTTTGGCTCAGTGAAAAGGCTTTTGTGTTCCTTTTTTTTTAATCAAAAAATAAAGATCCCTTATCTGCAGGGTATGCAAAGTCATGTGGATGCATGTGTTTATTTTTTTTAGAGGCCTTCTTGGTGGGCATTTTGCTGCACTAGCATTGAAGAACACTGGAAAAGGCATGTCATGGTATAACAATGAATTGGTTGCCATGGCAAAGGAGATTGGATATCGTCTGCTCCCAGCCTTTAATACCACCACTGGAATCCCTTACCCCAGGGTTAGTTTTTCACTGTTATTTTATGCATTTTAAGAGACTTGATACACTTCACGTGTCATGGCTTTATTTTGTGCTTTTCAATGTTGCTATTAGAAATACACCACAATTAATAGACATTGACTTTTTTGTGCTTCAACTAGGTTTCCCATTTGGGAACGTATCTGGGATTTTGACTCTGTATGTACCCAGAACTGTCTAAAGCTATAGCTCTAGGTTGTATGTCGTTTTTCATTTCAATGAGTAATCTTTTAAGGTTAAATTAGTCACTTTGACAAAATAATGTTATTGACTTTTGAAGGATGTTGAAACCTCTTTAACTTGGCTGTTTTTGTAAGTGAGGAGTTTCAATTTCTTGTCTTATCTTGATCATTAGGTTAACCTGAAGTATGGAATTCACCATCCGTCATCAAATACAGGTAGTGAGTCTGACACATGCACAGCTTGTGCTGGCACAATGATTATGGAGTTTGGTGCTTTATCTAGAGTCACTGGAGATCCTATATTTGAGGTACACACTTTTGTGTTTGATTTCTGGTATTCTTTTCTTAATTCTTGAGGAAAGGGCATTACTACACCCCCTTGAAAGGAAAGGTATGCACTCTTGCCACTCATGGTGGCCTCAGGTTAATGTTGTTGTTGTTAATGTTGTATACCTGGAGGCAGCGTGGCAGAGCGGCTAGGGTGCTAGACTTGTAATGCCTAGTTTAATGATGTTATTCTTGCCCTGATGGCTAGCTGGATTTGTTCTCAATATTTCTGAGTTTGAATCTTTGGCCATGCTTGTAAAACAGCCGTCTGGTTTGTCTCTTACCAGTTGGGATTCTTAACTTTGTTATGTTCAGTTTCAATCATTTGTTTTATTATCACTGAGAAGCCCTATAAGTGGAGAGGATATATAATAAAGTATTTATTTTATTATTAATTTTTTATCTTATACTTGCCAAACTTTCTTGAGTCGTAGGCATGACATTATTTTATTTTAAGCATGACAGGATTTTTCTCAGGGAACCAATAATATCCGAAGCAAAGATTTCTGATATCTACCCAAAGAGTTTTTTAAGTGCTCAAGAAAAATAATGATTAAAGATTTTGTCCTCTAGGGACTTCTCTTGGACTCTTCCTTTCTTGCTTGTGTTCTAGTCTATTTTTCTTCTTGGATATCTCAAAAATGTGCTTATTAAGGTTGTACATGTAATACATTGTAGCTGAAACTTTTCCAGTTGTGAGAAATTGGTCTGGAACAAGTAACTGAACTGAACTGCCTCCTCAAATAATGTACATGTTATATTATGAAATAACTGAAATAATAATTTTATTTGGTGTATCAGGAGAAGGCCCAGAAAGCTATGGAGTCAATCTGGATCTATCGCAGCCGTTACAGTGATTTGGTTGGAACAGTTATTAACATTCATAATGGAGACTGGGTTCGCAGAGGTAAATAATGAATGAAAATGAAGTAAAATGCATTTAAATCCAACATAACTTACAAACTTGACATACATTGTACAACTGTACTTTATCAGTTCCTGCAAAGTGTTTGTCTCATTGTGCCTCAACTTTATGGCATTGTATGGAATATGGGTGTGTGGAAAGTTTCTTTGGACCCCCTCTGTCACCAGCTGGCCTGATTTATTATATTTTCCCAAAGATGAATTTATTGGTCCTTCACCCGTACATCACACAGGAAAAAATAACAGATTCCCATTTTTGGATATTTTAGGAATTCCCAACCAAGTTCCCTGATTGGGACTTGTCTCACTATTCCAAATTTGGGATTTTTTGTGGGTATTCTTTAAATACCGTAAAATATCCAAAAATGGGAATCTGTTAGTTTTTCCTGTGTCAAACCATAACATCACTTCTTAAAGTACAAGTATTATGCCACGAGCTCATTCACCATCAGTGATAATTACTTTTCAAAAGGTCATTTTACTTCATCCTTTTCCTTTAACAGACAGTAGTGTTGGTGCTGGTATTGATTCATACTATGAGTACTGTTTGAAAGCCTACATTCTGTTTGGAGATGAAACTTACTTGGAAAGGTTCAACAGGGTATGGAGTTGTCTTTTTCTTTTCACTTTAAGATAGTAACAAGACTCAGTTAGCAATCGTGGAAACAAAAGTCATTTTTATAAGTGAGAATCCAGTCTTGTTGAGTGTCGAGTCGAGACTGTCAACTTACTTTTGAGTTATACTTTAGCTAGAAATTATTGATAGAAAAATTATTTTATGAACTAGAGTTGTATTGACAGTGAGCCTTACCCATTTTTCTAGTCATCCATGCCACTTAAATTGCCTTTTTGTATTTTAAATGGACCTTCATCTCAAGGAACTATAGGATCACACAAGTATTGCATTGTAAAATAATAAAAATTTATCTTCCTTTTCATTTGGTTTGACATTTTCAAACAGCACTACAAGTCAATAATGCAGTACATGAATCAGGGCCCAATGTTCTTAAGTGTTCAGATGCATCAGCCAGATAGAACAGCTCATGCCTACATGGATGCATTGCAAGCTTTTTGGCCAGGACTTCAGGTAAGATTTTGTGTTGTGTTCTTTACACTATGATTTTGTCTTTAAACTACATGCAAAGACAGTAGTGGTATGTAGGGGAGTGAGGGCTTTATCTTTAGCATTTCCTTTTTTTAACCCTATAAGCCCAGTAAAGTGCAACAAGACAGAATAGGCAAAAAAGGAGTGAAGGGCAAAAGCAAAGTTTGCAAAAACAGAAAATACAAGATATGATCAAGACAATGAAGAACTCACCAAAAAGAAACTCATTTGTTCTGGTTCATTCAATAGTTTGCTTAGGAGCAGGCAATACTTTTTCTACACAATGGCTCATCTGAGATGTTTTATAATATAAACTAGTCTTTACAGTAATAACTACATAAAATTTGCCTTGCAGTGGTGCATGTAAGTAAGAACTTAAATGAATATTTTCTGAAAATACAGCAATGAATGATTTTCCAGTGATCGGAGACCCATGTTTTGCGCACAGGATTCTGGGATCGCCAGGAGGCAAACATTACGAGTTGCTACAAAGAAATGTATGGCGTGGAGTTGTTTCTCCGTTAAAAGCGGTGTCTTTGGACAGAGAATGCCGCATTTTGCTGTGCTTTTAAGAGAAACGGAGGAGACTAATATTGGGGCGTTGAAATTTCAAGTTTCTGTGCGATTAATGCGATAAATTCTATTGATAAACACTCCTTGCGTGAGGTTGGGGGTGAAATTTATATTTACTGAATTTACAGTGATCTACATGAAGAAAAGGTCTCGAAATATATAGTACAAATTGAATTGAAATATATAGTACAAATACATGTAGGAGGATTGGCTCATTTAAGCGTTTAAGTTATAATTACGTGTGGTGATATTTACGACGAGTGTAACAAAGCTTGGCCGCGATGAGCGCTGTGCGGCGCTGTGCGGTTTGTGACAAGACAACAATCATAGGTATGTACGTGGCCATCATGATAAAAAATCCTCCTTTACTTTGGTATAAACAAAGTGACATTTACGAAATATTTCATGGAAACTACATGGTATTTAACCATTAGTAGATGAGGCAGAAATCGTACGAACGAGTAAGATTTCCGATACAAAAGCAGTCAGAGTGTGTAAATATAAAATACCAAGTTGATGTGCGAAATTCAGACATTCTATATCTTCCCTAAAAATGATTGGAAAAGGCATTAGAACTCATTGGTGCTCTGGATCATGACAAGACATTCGCTTGTGTGTGTGTGTGTGTTTTTTTTTTGCGAGAAGAAATCAATATACTAATGTGGGGAAGATATTTTTGTTTTTAAAGTTAATACATATCAAATTCGACAACACATAAGCTTACCTTCGATCGTTTTCACAAACTGGCACAGCATTGTGATCGCCGAGCGGAGCTTAATTACACTCGTTTTAAATATGAGCACATGTAAGTACATGAACTGGAAAGGCTTAAATGAGTCCGCTTTCCCCACTCATTTATACCTAAGTTAGTACTATATATTTCGAGACCATTCAGTAAATTTCACAGTCGACCTTACGCAAGGAGTGTTCATCAATAGATTTCATAGCATTGATCCCACAAAAACTTACAATTTCGAAGCACCAATATTATTCACCTCCGCTTCTCATAAAATCACGGCAAAATACGGCATTCTCTGTCTAAAGACACTGCTTTTAACGGAGAAACAGCCCCAAGCCAGACATTTCTTTGTAGCGACTTGCAATGTTTGCCCCCTGGCGATCCCATAATCCTGTGCGCATAACTAAGTCTCACATTACTGGAAAATCATTCATTGTTAAACAAATTTGACCACTTCAAGTTCTCCTATTTGCTTTTTACATCACTGTCATGAATGTTGCCAACACCTTATAGTGTGAGCATCTATGTACACAATTATCTGTAAAACTTTGTCACTACAAGGCTGTGCTCTAAGGAACTCTGAAGGGAACCCAGTGCTTAAAAGGTGCACAGTGTTCTGAATCTGTAAAATCTAGGGTGCCCAATGTATGATTTGTATGAAAACCTAAGATTTTCTAGTTGCCTGGAAGCAAAAGTTAGGCACCGGGGGTGACCTGGTGCTGTTAGAGCAAAATCTTTTAAGTGGTGTCACCTAATTGTATAGTATCTGCACACCTCTGGGGGTGAGGCTGAAAAGAGGCTTGGGGCCTCTTAGTTTTTGATGCCTCATAGTGGGGGCTTATTAGAGACTAGGGGCTGTGTAGTATAGAGGAATAAAATATAATAATAATTATTATATCTCCATGCTAAATTTTGTAGGTGCTGAAAGGTGACCTGAAGAAAGCAATCGAAACGCACCAAATGCTTTACGAAGTTTCCAAAAAACACACCTTTCTACCTGAGGTAAAACTGCCCATTAATGTTTTGTAAATTTATTTGGTAAGGATTCTCAAAGGAGTTTGATTTTTGTGCTTTCATTGTCATAACTGGAAACAGGAAGATAAAATAAAACACTAGTTTCATTTTTTTTTGCAATATGATATGATACATCATATGTGGGCTGAGAAGCAAAAGACTATTAGGCTGTTTTTGCTTGTTTCTGCAGTGTTCTATTTTGTGCTTATTACTGTTTTGTTGAAATAGTTATATGGTTCACTGGACGTTGTACATTTTTGTAAATCAGCCCTTGCACACCCACCAGTAATACAGTATCAAAAAAAAAAAAAAAATGTATGATCTGTGCATGTATTATGCATTAATCACCAAGTGCAAGGTTAATTTTGTACACATACATGTACATGAATTGGCCTAGTTTTTTTCGCTATTTTTATCCTCAAACAACAAAAAAGTTGTTGTTCAGCCATCTTGACCAAACATGCTCGGTCAATAATGGATATATTATATGACCAAGAGAACTTTTTTTTCTCTTCTTCTTTTCTGCTCGGGTAGCCAATCAGGACCCAGGATTTGCTTCATTTTGCCAGCTTGCAGAACAAGTTGTATGATAATAATTGGCATTATTACATGGTATAAACCCAGTAGGTCAATAAATACACAGATTTTTGTTTCTACCACTACCAGTTTGAGCAGTTTTTTTTTTGGATGTTCCTTTTTTACAGGCTTTCACCACAGATTTTGAGGTGCACTGGGGACAGCATCCTCTTCGCCCTGAACTTGTAGAAAGTACTTACTTCCTTTATGAGGTGAGCTATTTATGCATAAGTGTTAGTCAAAGTTAATAACCAGTTGAAGAAGTAGAAAAAATGTGTAAAAATCAGAGGGTTTCATAGCACATCTTCTGATTTTTGTCATGTTCTCTCTCACAAGAAATCAATAAGTAAATGGACCATGTAATAGTTAGGGTTAAAAAAGTTTTCATTTTCCCACAAACCCAAAAGGGGATTTTTGGGATCCTGAGTGCCGCTAGGAGTGATTGATAATGTGTAACTAATACTTGTTTATTAATTTAAATTTCTTGTCTCATTTCAGACTTAGATGTTTATTTAAACATAATTCATTTCAATTAAATATTTTCTCCAAAATCTCATTACTTTGCATTGTGTTTTGAGTGAATTATACTCAGTAAGATATTTTGTCATTTTCAGGCTACGGGTGACCCATATTATCTTGAGGTTGGTAAGAATATAGTGGAAAAGATCAACGAACATGCCAGGGTTCCTTGTGGTTTTGCTGCTCTTAGAGATGTTAGGACACTCAGTCATGAAGACAGGTATATCCTTTGATAAATACTCTTTTTCCTCTAAGAGATATTATGGTAATGACTTAGCACAGAATTATTCAGAAGTGCACATAAAAGGTGCTTTATAGTAAGAAAATGGAAACAAGTTCACTGACAGTGGCAGTTAATTGAAAAATGTGTATCATTTACACTAAGGATGAAAAAAATGCTGGATTATGAGCGGTTAGAATGCTGAACTCGTAATCCAGGGGCCCCGAGTTCAAGTCCTGCTTTGAATTATTTTGGAACTTTGATTGCTGGCCACTTACATGTAATAGAGAGTGGCTGGAGGTTCAGTTCTGTGATGTGTTCCCTATTGAATCAAAATCCTGTTAAGGGTTTACTAATGTTAGTGAAATACTGGACTTGAAGATGATGAATTTCCCCATCAAAATCTCTTTATTTTTCCTCATTTCAGGATGGATTCATTTGTCTTAGCAGAGACATTTAAGTATTTATATCTTCTGTTTACCGAAAAGGAAGACTTGGTATTTAACTTAAACCAGTTTGTTTTCACCACGGAGGCTCATATTCTCCCTCTCAGCTTGTCCACCATGGCTGTGAATGAATCTGCCTCACAAGTAAGACACCTCATTTAATAATTATCATAATGATAATGATGATGATAATAATAATAAACTTGAAATTTACTTAAATGTACTCGTAAATAACTGGAGGATATTGATTTATACTGCCTTTCTTTAGAATAACTTCAACCTGTTTGTCATCCACCATCTGTTTTGTACACAGGAACTGAAATACAATGTGACCTTGAGTTCAGAAAATGAGCATGAGTATACCTGCCCTATAACTCAGCATGATCAAGGCTCAACTGCAAAGTTTGCAGAGGAGGTGCGACGAAACAGCCGAGCTCAAAGAGAAGGAAGCTGCCCCAACAAAAAGCAAGCTTTTGCATTTAGCAATAACAAGTGAGTTAAGTTATCCTATAAATTGAAGCCGAAGACAGTTTCAAATTGTCATGTGGTAAAATAAAGAAAATTAATGTGAATGCAGTGTAGTATCCTCCAGCAAAAGAACTGTTGAACCATGAACCAGTGTATTTGTGTATGGTCGCACCATGTACAGGATTTCACCCACAGTCTCTCTGTACATTATGCAGCATTTTGATTTATACTGAAGGAAATGACCTCTCACCGGGGGAGACAGTGCGGTCAGGCATTAAAGCACTGGAATTGCAAATTGGAGACCACAATTTCAATCCCAGCATGCGAACCGCAGACGTATTTATGGTCGTGCCTTCTCTCTGTGGTTCGCAGGCTAGTTTAATCCCTATACTAACTGCTTAGCTGAATTTGGGGTGACGCTCAATATACCAAGTCAATATATACACTATTGTGATGTTTTATTGTGTGAAGTTTATTGTGTTATTGTGTAAGGGCTAGGGATCATTGTTGTGTTCTTTGTGACATAACTCAAGACTTACTATTCACTTGGTATATGGTGCACTAGTTTGTTCTCTGTAGTCCTGACTTTAAATCCTCAGTCATGCTTGTTAAAAGCTGACTGGTTTGCCTCTGGCCAGTTGAGATTCTTAACGTTATGTTTAGTTTCAAAGCTTTGTTTCTGTCCTTATTTGTGGACTGCAATAAAGACAGCTGGCTCACCAGTAATTATGCTACCCCTATAGGCAACTCTTTGTTTACATTTTTTGCCTCATTAACATATGCTTTTCATTATCTAAGTAAGTTAATGAAATAAAACTTCTGATTATTAAAAGAGCATAAGAATTTCAGTTATCTCTGAAAATGTTTGCCCGATATACCGAATGGTTTCAGAGAAATTCTCTTTTAAAAACTCGAAATTTTACAAAGAATGTATCGCTCACTAATTTTTTGCCACACAGCAATTTTGTAGTTTTTGATGGCTGATATTTCTTCAATATTGCTTGCAAATGGCTGAAAATTGCGCAAATTACTCAAGTTAATCAACTCTTTCAACTTTTGAATTTAGTTTGTATATATGGCTACGGCTTCTATGAGTTAGGTCATATGCTAATGAGGAAAAATGTAAACAATGGCGTCCTATATACACCTTACTCAAAAATAGCAGCAACACGACCTTTTTTATATTTATGTTAGTTATCCCTCCTTGCCTTGATTGTACTTGCAGAATTCAAATGAAATTTTACCTTAAACCGAGGTATCAATGACCAATGATCATGTAGGCAATGGATTAACAAAATTTGACGCCATTTTGGAATTAGGTGTAGATAGTCCTTTTTCCAGGAGTTTGTCTACAGCGTACAGATGTAAACCTAAGAACTAGTTACATAACAGGTATCTTCAAGTAAATTCAAAGAGGTATCTGGGGTAAGGAGAGGGGTGCCTAGACAACCTCCCCTCCCATCCATCTACAGTGAAGATCCCCCCTTGATGTTAATCTGTTATTTGTCAGGCCTCCCCGGCTGAGAGCTGAGCAGTTTGTACCTGGTAATCAGCATCATGTAATGATTCTCAAGTCCATGGGAATCACTGTAGTTCATACAAAGGATGGTAGAATACAGCTCATGCAAACGGCTTCATCGGTAAGAATTAAAAAATATCTAAATACAGACACCTCGGTTAAACAGACCTTTCTTTACTCCCTTCAAAATCTGTTCAGTTAACTTACAGTTTTTTGCTTTATCAAGTTTAAATCACTCCCGCCTATTTCCAAACCCTTTCACTTCCAACAGTGGCTAAAGAAAAATTAAACTTTCTTTCTTTTAAATACTGAGAAAATATTAGTTCTTTGGAAAAGTTTTGTCAAAGTGGTTTCAACTGAATACTTTAGTTACAACATAGGATTTTGTTTATAACTTACAGTTTAACCAAAATCAATAGAAAATCAAAATCAAAGGTCCTTAAGTACCAATTATACAGTCGTATTTTTTGCTCTTCTTGGGCCAAAACGCTTCATAGCTTCATCGCAATCTGAAATACACAGGCTGTTAAAATTTGTTGCCAGATTCAACGATGAGCAATACATATATCTTTGGTAGGGATATTGTTTTTATCAGCTTGAACAAAATTTGAGCCAGACATGACAAAATATTCTCCACAAATGAACTCAACAAATTTTGGCCTTTTCCCACTGTATGGGTCTTCATGGCTCAGTTAGTAGAGCACTGCAGCGCTAACTCATAGGCCATGGGTTTAAATCCCGTTGAAGTTCCTAAATTTTGGGGGGAAGGGGGGGGGGTCAATTTTCAAATGCCAAAATTGTAATTACGACTGCGACGATCATATCTTCATTTAAGAAAATATTTATTGTACAATTCATTGTAGGCCGTCAGTGATGTAACAAACAAAAGACGGTACACCGTTTTTATTGTAAGTTTAATATTTTGAACGAGCTAATCATAACACATTACTCTTCGAGAATAAAACAAAATATAAAAAGGTTCCTAAAATTTAATCTAAATGTGTCATCTACTTGTCAAGCCTAAACTAACTTTTACTCTTCAACATGGAATGTTTTCTGTTAAAGTCAGACAAAAATTGCCCATTTAACTCATGTTTGCCTTCTGTGCAACTTAGGGTACCTTGTTGTTTCTTTTGTCATTACTAGGCTCAATCGCAAGATTATGCAGAGGAAGGCATCAAGTTTATGCAAGAGATGATCGAGTTGGCGAAACGACGGAATGATGAATCAGGTATAATGTAGTTTTTGTGAATATTAATCCTGTAAGGTAGATGTATTGAACAGTCGAATGAAGAAAAAGTGGATGATCAAGTCACGACTAGTTTAGGATTTACTTGCGATTTGGCGTGGAAGTTGGGGGAGATTTTTCAGTCAATCCGAACCAAACGCGACAACTCAACATACTGTTATGAGCGGATTTGACGTGTAATTGAGCCAAAAATGTTACTCATTGTTTTGACCTGCTGGCCTCGTTTTCTTGCCCTCTAAGACAAAAGTATCGTTGTGGTTCATAAAAAGTATGTCGTCCTTTTGTTGAAATTGAACAGTTTTCATTAGGAGGCTTGATTTGTTTGCAAACGCGGCTTTGACAATATTTGAACTTAAGTTTGATACAATTATGTACTAAAAGTGATCATTGTTGTAGCTCCCCAAGAAAGCCCTCGAGTGGTTCAGCTCATGTCTGCCCCGTACAATGGAGATGTGGTCCTTGTTGCCTGCCCTGCACGATTTGGTTTGGATCTGAGCAAAGGAGATGTGGGGGTGAGACACGATATACAGCATTTTAGGAGACTTACAAATCCTTCGCAATGCCCTTAGAATTTTTTTGAAACAAATTATTCGTCATCTCATAAAGAATTAGCTGTTCATGTTAAAAGTGACTAGGAAGGCGAACTAAGACGTACATTTTAGAAAACGGAAAAAGAGATCTTCCCGAAATCGTGTAGTCGTAATTCTTTTAGAGACCACAGTAATTTATGTTTTATCAGTAACATCAGTAAAGAAACAAGCTGTCCACTTCAGAGAAATAAGTTTCCTCAATTTTTTTTACTCGTGGCGTTTCAAATAAGTAAGTAATTACTCTCTTTCGGAGGTGATCAAGGATCCATAAGTTTTGACGTGTAAGTGTTTTTGTATAAAAAAAGGCCTTTCTTCTGATCAGTTCATATTTACAAGCCATGAAATTATGTTTCGCCTTTTTGTTTTTCAGATGAGTGCTGAAGTTAGCATGGGCAAACCTTTCAAGGCATGTTCTCCTCTCTCTAATGGCGAGGAGTTGAAGCACAGAATTGCTGTGTTAGAAAGGGGCGATTGCATGTTCATTGACAAGGTATGTACACAGTATTAATATTAATATGCATCGGTTCCTCAGAATGATGATGTTGTCGATTGGTGTAAGGGAGCGGGTCAGGCCATTTCGAACATTGTCATTTTATTCTTGACTTTTTAAAAGTGGTCTACCTCAGCTATTTTCCTTCTGTTTAAAATGTTAAAGCCTGTTGGCTCAAGAAGGCGTTTCTCAGTACCTTTCTCTTGCTCAAGACTTTTAAATCTAAGTAGCTCTGTGGATTTTGCTTATCAGTGTCGTTGTTAATCGATTTCATCCCCCACCTGAAAAGTTTTAGTACGAGATTAAAGTGAATATTGTAAGATAATTTCTGTTGAGAGAAACTGATGTTTATAAAGCAGAAGATACTTGGACATAAATAGAGACAATTAGATTTGAGGACGAAAAAGACCACGAGGACGAGATTAAACTCAATTTTTTTCACGTATTCTCAAGAAATAAACACCTGGAAAGCTTCGTTGTAATTTTTTGTACCAGAAAAATTAGCACGTTTTTATTTTTGGTGTAGGAGGTTAAACCCTCTCCCGAGCGCAAAATGACAAAACTTCTTAACATTTGATTCACTACGTCGTTCTCGCAAAATAGAATGACGACAGCTATTACATTTTCCAGCCAAAATGCTGACTCGCGCAAGCGCACTATTAAGTTTCAGAACTAAATCTCAAATGTAACTGGTTCATGCGCGCGCACTCCTTAGTATCATGGAGAAAGTCTTGTTCTCATAGTCGTCCTCGTCTTAGAATCTAAAGATCTCCAATGACCACTTGCAAAGTAAAGGTTGCGGTGACCATGCAGGCTTACGTTGCGCCAACAGCCTTCCAAGGTGAAGTAACTGTACTCGTAATTGCTCCATGCAATCGAAGTAGTCTTTTTGTACTTTTACCCCTCCTCTCGAGGCTCGGTACTCTTCTGAGCAGTTGTTGATTGTTTTTGTTTCGTTAACAGACTCGTCACGCTCAAGCCGCGGGTGCAGTAGGCGTTGTCATCATCGGTAAGAATGAATGACAACTTTAACGTTGAGTTGCTCAAAAATCATACTTTATTACTGCTTTTTTGTTGTCTCTTGTTATCCCGTGTATTATCTTGATATAAGTGTTTTATCATAACAAATTCGGTCAAAACTTAAGAAAAATATTTGACTGGAATACGTTTCTTTTATTAACCGGCTTAACCGTGCACCTTGCGTTAATAATCTTGCGTCTCAGCTCTTGAGGCACTGCTTGCTAGTTGCTAGCGCTCTGCATCAGTTACTTGTTTCTGTATTTCATAATTTCTTGCTTGCTTTTGTACAAATTTGAATTGACCAGACAACCGCGTCTTTTCCTTTACGTCCTGTCACGGCCCGTCGTCTTAACATTTCCGAGTTATCCGAAGCCTCTGTTTGAAAACGAGGCTAAGTGTGCGGGCTTCGATATAAAATTGATTGTTATTCTCATGTAAATGAAGCTCATTCCTGGACCTTGGAAATGGCCTTTAAACCAGTCGTTATATTACGACAACAGACCCGCTAATGCTGCGGATTTTGTTTGAATTTATTGCAAACGAAAAAAGATCCCGCGTTAGAAATTGTTTCCTCGTTTCTTTTCATGCCTGTTTGGGTTCTTGTTGCTTGTGTCCTGTATGTGCTGGAATCCATGCAGCTTAAATATTCATCATGTTCTAATTTTTGGTGTGTGTGTGTGTGTGTGTGTGTGTTTTTTTTTGCGTGTAGATAACAATGAAGGCAGCTCTAGTGATACACAACCAATCTTTGCCATGTCCAATGATGAAGACAACAAAGACGATGTTAAAATACCAGCCGTACTTTTGTTCAGTGAAGAGGGTCGCATTCTAAAGAACGCCATGGCCGCCCTAGACGATACTGATAATCGCCTCACAGTACGATTAGCTACTAAAGCTTCTGGAAAGTCAGGTTTGTCAGCTGTTGTCCTGTATTTCCATTAAACCCCACCTGGAAGCTCTGAAGATCGAAGGTTTAATTGGCACCCAGGGTTTGCAAATTTTATTGATGAGTGGAGTCAGTGTGACTTCTGTTTCACAAATTTTGGAGTCATTCTGGAATACTTGGAGTTCCAGCACTTGGTCCTGGCATGTATACACTATCGTGAGGGATACACGAAGTAGCTGTGGCGGTCCGCTGACCTGGAAAGCTCAAATCCATGATGGTGGTCATCGAGTAAACTTTGATCGTAATTTACCCTCTTCCTGTTTTGTCATGCAGTATAATTCTTTAATTTCGATGATTTGATTAAGGTTTACAACGTTTACAATTAACGTAAATTATATTTGTTGCGAAAAAGGTAAGGACAAAACTGTGTTTGTTACCGAAAATTTCTGGAGTCGAAGTGATCCCCTCCGTAACCACAGTGGAGTCATCCGAACAATTTTGGCGTAAAATACGCCAAATTTGGCGTATTTGCGAACCCTGTTGGCACCTTAAGATCCGTCAACGGCGACGGTGACGAGAACGTGAAAAAAGAAATAGGTTTAGACTAGCAAAACAGCAACTTTGCACGTGCAACACTTTTTTTGTTCATTCTTTTACCGTCATTGCACGACTAACTACGACGTGAAAATGCCTAATTTCACGTTTTATGAAGGACGTTAACAAGCCACTGCGAAATTTTCTTTCTCTTTTTGAACCTGGATATGGTTTTTAGGAATTTAACTCCAGGAGACTTCGCCTACATTTGACAAAGTAATTGAGTTGGAACAATCGCGATGAAGATTGAAAGAACGCGAATTTACTTCTTAAGCGGTGTTTTCGCTGCCGTCGCCGTCCTCGAGTCTTAAGGTTCCTAATTTCGTTTGTAAGGATGCCATTTTGGTAACTTGTCCACGGCGTTCCAAGTGCTAGAGAAAACGTGCTGCCTCAAACCTTTCGTTTTGCCCGTTAGGTGTTCTTATTTTTGAGATATTTTGTATTGAATCCTAAACACAAGTACCCCAAACTACTGCTCGTTAGCTTTTGTTTTGATACTGGTGTTCATCTGTCAGTTGTTAGAACAAGGGCCACAATGGTTCTTGTTTAGAAACGTTGTCATTTGTAGCTGTGAGGCTTTTTTGTGAGAGTTTCTTTATATTTTGCTCACAGACAAACAAGAGGGGTCAGCAAGCAAACACGATCCAGAATCAAGTCAGGACTCTATTAATTCATCCAGTAGTCAGCCGTCTGGTGAAGGAAAAGGCAAGCCATCAGTAGATGAAAACAAAGACATACTCAGCCATGATGGCGCAGATCAAAGCCAGAACTCGCACGATGAGCAAAAACAAACGAAGTCACCGGATAATGGTGACGAAAATATAGCTTCGATTACATCAAATGGAAAAGTCGATCACTGCGCGGATCTTCCTCACGATAAACGCGTTATCTCTGTTGGTGAGGATGAGTACGTGTTATGTGGTAACACAGGAACACCGGGAAGTGTTTCAGAAAAACCGGTTAATGACCAGCAACAACATGCTAGTCAACATACTGATGACTTATCTAAGCAAGCTGATACGTCGAGTAGCGTAACGGACGCTCCAAAAGTGAATAAACCTCATGAGGACTCATCGCGTGACCAAGACTCGTCGCGAGACAAAGTGTCATTGCGTGACCAAGACTCGTCACGTGATGAAATCTTATTGCGCGATCACGTTTTACCGCGTGATGAAGCAAACGGTGAATCTACAAGAACTGACAATATTAACTCGGATCAGTTGGCAAACGATCCGTTTTTAGTGAATGAACAGGATGCACAGAGCTCAGATCAAGCCAATGTTGAATCATTAGAGGAAACACAAAATGAAGATGCTAAAGACAGGACATGAATTATAGGAAACTTACTAAGAAATTATTTAACCTCAGTTGCATTTGTCGAAACTTTGATCACAACTACCAGGATCCTTCACTTTTCCCCCCTAGACGTCATGTTGTCGGGGATGGAAGTATTATTTATCGTCTAGACTGTTAACATTCCCTCAGGATTGTCGCGCGGGCAAGAATGCACGTACGAGCGAGTTAGCGACGAAAACGCGCGCTTCACTTTTCGTTTTCTACGACTTGCGTTTGCCTCGCTCGCGTGCACGTGCATCCTTCCCCGCGCGATAATCCTGAGGAACTGCTAGCAGTAAAATTTTTGTCCTTTTACTTAATCGAATGTTGTTTAATTTAAAGAGGAAAGAAACAAGGACGTGGTCATACATTTGACTGGTAGTTGTGGCCAAAGTCCATGACATGAAATTTATGAACTCTTTCTGTGTATGATGACCTCTTAAAACCTAGTGGTCCTATCATTTTAAAACATGCCTACACTGTTGACTACTGGCAATTCCCGATAGGAGCGTAACCTGGTAGCTAGTCACCAGGGAGCTTTAGCAATCATGACAGCGGAGGCAGTCAAAAGAGCAAAAAAAATTGAAAAGGGAAATTGCAAATTGATTATTTTGTCAAACGAAGTCAGTCTCCTGGACTTGAATTCTTGGGATCCTCACCCATGTTCTGAAAGGGGGGAGTCGTCGACGTTTGTTTACGTCCTTTATAAAATGTGGCATAGTCGTGTAGTGATTAGTAGATAAATGTACCAAGAGGTATATGATGCACATAATGAGTGTTTGTTTTGCTTCTTTAAAAACCTATGGCTATTTTGACATCCTCATTTCCTCTACCGCTGTCGTTGCTAAAGTTCCCCATTATCTGTGCTGCGTTTAAGTAAGATAAGTACTCAAGACATGGACGTCATAGATACACACAACTCATTATCGTTTTTGTTGGGTTGTGTTTAGACATACAAGCATTCATTCTCTGGACTGAATACGTCATGATACACAGAAAAAGCTTCATAATTGGGATGGAAAAATAGGGTGGGGAAGGGAGGGGAGGGAGGGTTAGAACTGTTTCATTATGCTGGATAACAAGAGCGCAATATACGTTAGTTTTTAAGCGTGTATGCTTGACAGGGTTGAATTTCTCGTTTTAGGTAGCTATAAATTGTTAAAGTAATTTTGCCTTAAAGTTGAGATGAATTTCTACCCATTTTGTCGGAATACTTGAAAGGATATGTTTTGGTTCAATTTTGTCCTTGGTTTAAATTTTAGTTTCTTTTGTTTCAAAATTATTATCATACATTACCAATAAATTTTAAACCAAGGATAAAATTGAACCACAACAGATACATAGCCCATCACCTACTGGCTTTACTTATCAAATAAAAAGATTTGGCAAAGACAACAGAACGTCAAATAAGAAAGCTAAAAGGCGCGGAAATGATTGAACGCAACTTCTGGCACTCATTTTGCCTTTTGCGCTATTGGTCAAGTCGATGTTTCGACCTGCGCGCACTGTCGACGCTGTCACGTTGTCTTTGTTAAAGCTGCTTTATGACATGAAGCGCGCTTGATTTAGCCAATCACGGTCACTCCAAAGTTTATCCGTGCGCATGCTCAGCAGGTTTGAAATCCTTTGGCGGCAGAGGCTACTTTCGCTTGCTTGTACAGGATTATGGAACAACCAAAAAACAAATTCCCCCTAGGTATCTTAAACATTGAGTTGCTGTTCAGCTAAAGTTAGTCTATTGGATAAGCAACGATATCAAGTGGGGTTTCCATAGCTTCTGGAGTGTATATTCCAATTCCTATTCAAGTTGAATTTTAATAGGCCACTTCAGCCGAGTTCCAAAAACCCTTACTTCCAAAATGAGGCCAAGTGTACAACCTTTCTTGTGAAAATGAGTTTTAGTTGCATGAGAATGAAAAATCATTTCCATATCAAAGGCCGAGAACTTAACCTCGTTTTGATACAGTGGCTGGGGGGAGCTCAGAAAGGCCTATTTGAGTAANGCAAACATCAATGATAAAAACAACAGTGCTGCAGTTTATGTTGGAAGCACCCTGAAAGTGCACAATCCTTTGTTTTCTGTTGGCAAATTGTTACGGAATAAATTAATGCAACGTTTTTATTGGTCAATACAATCAAAATGATAGGAATTCTTTTGAACGTTGTGCACTTTCAGGTCCACAAAAACATATAACAAAGGAGTCTGACGGATTTCATAACCATTCCACTCAATTAACTATGGTTTCACATGCATCTTAACGGCTGACGCACAGCCTAATTAAACTCCGTCTATACAATTCAAAGCCAGTTGGTAGTATTCGTCGTTAGCTGTAAGGTTCATGTAACTGTTCTCAGGACCATTAATTTGCAAAGAACGAAACAAAACAACATCAACAACGAACCCTTGCTATGTTTTGATGTAATACGGCTGTAAAAAGTTCAAGTTTATTGGTTTGCCAGGTTTAAATGATTTAGGACATGAGAGGTGAGGAAAGAGGTGTGAGCTCTAGAGGTGTTGGACCAGATGTTGGCCCAAAAAGTGAACGGAAAAAATTAGAAGCGACAACAAAAAGCCAGGAAACAACAAACAAAACAAAAAAGATCTGCATTCTCGTGTTCAAAACTATCATAGCAAATTGGCAACAGCTCTTCAGTTTCCTCTTCAAAAGCCGTTTTGTTCCTCTTCTAACCACAAAAGTGACCGCTCATAAGGAGAAGAAGCGAAGGCATTTGACTTTTGTAACTGCAAAAGAAAAGTGTCTTGGATGTTGATGTTTGAAGAAAGGTTCTTTCCGGTCACGCAATCATTTCAATGTAACGACAAGTTTCCTGTCAGCAAATATTTTTCGAAGAAATCTCTTCTCGCACCCCGCTACAACGAGCTCAAGCTATTAAGAGCACTAACTAGCGATCCTGACGGTGTCCGAAACAACGTGAGTTGACTGCTATACTGCTGTACTGTTAAATATGGCAAGCACAGTATCAGATATTTAGGCCCACACTACGTGAGAGTGATGGGGCAAGATAAGCCAGGAACTACGCAGTAACAACAGTCTTCAGGCATTCAGGAGAGGGGTGCGTGCTCTCAATGTGCTTGGCTTGCTGGACGGCACGTGTGGCTGCTGTGCATGCTCATCTTAGAGTGGTGGGTATGCAGGGGCGTAGCCAGGATTTTTCAAAGGGGGGGTCACAGAGGCTACTCACCAGATTTTCATGTCGACATCCACGCCCATATTAACTAAAGACAAGAGCCGTTGACGAAAATACTTCACAAAAAAACAAATTTTAAAAAAGTGGGCTTTTCAACAATGGCTTTTACGGCCAAGATATTGTCATGGCGTTTTCGCTACCTGAATATTGTAGGTTGTTTGCTCAAAAGAAGGCCTACCAAGGGGGGGTCACGGGCACCTCAGGACCCCCCCTAGCTACGCCCCTGGTATGCATAGTGGCTTCTGCTGTGTGGCTGCCTGGTGCATTGGGAGTGTGCTCCCCTATCCTCTATTTAATTCGTCTAATTTAAATTTTCTAGATTTTTAACTTTCTTAATTTTGTATTTATATTTTACTGCTGCTTATATGTTTGTCCTACTAATTGTCTGTTTGTTTGTCTGTCTCTCTGATTGTCTGTTTTGTCTATCTATTTGTTTTGTCTTTGTTTGTTCCTTGCTTGTCCTACTGTTTGTCTGTAATAATTTATTTATTATATAGACACGAGTGTTTTACTGGAAAATATACCACTCGTAAAATTCATAAAAACTACATCCGGGACCCGAGTGGTTTATTTTCCATAATCTCACACGTGAGTTTATCGATTGCGTAATTTTGGTAATTTCCCTCAATTATTTTATCAATGTCATTTTGTCTATATAATAAAAAGAACATTACACGGCGGCTTGAAGTTATGAATTTTATTTTCGAGTGGCAAAACAATATTTTACGAACGAGCGCAGCGAGTGAGTAAAATATTGTCTTTGCCACTCGAAAATAAAATTCATATCTTCGCGCCACCGTGTAATATCCTCTATATATTGATGTTATTTTTATATATTAATGATATTTCAAGAACATATTTTTAATATTTTTACATATACCTGATTTAATCTTATATTATATTCATTTTATTTATTCATAGTGTCCACAATTAGCTTTTAGCTAAATACCTTGACACTTTAATAAAGTTTGTGTATGTATGTATGTATGCTCCCTAGGTCCATCGCGGTCATGAACGTCTAGGGCGTTTTCTTGTGTTATTAGCTGGGATTTCTTTTACCGGTTACTAGAAACTTGGACAAAGATGTATAAATAACAAATTAACGTAAGTATCTTTTCGTTTTCTTGAAATATTGAGCCTCGTTTCGTTGAAAACGCTTCGCGCCCGAATAGTCTTATGCTGGCAAAATCGCGCCGACCATAACAACAGTTTCAATTTTTAAACACTTAGAAACATGTTAAGTGAACTTTCAAAACGTTTAGTAAATTAGCAGTGTATTGGTAATATCTCAAACCTGCAATACTTAAAGTAAAGACAACCTTAGTTTTGAAGTACTTTGCTTAGCTTTTCCAAGTTCGCCTTGTTTGACCTCAGTGGATGCCCAAGGTGACTTACGTCCCCTCCCCCGTGTCAGAATCTCAGATCCGTCATCGCTCGCATTTATTGCAATTTTGAGAAAAGCGGTTGTTTCTGGTGTTGGCCATGGTGCCATCATTAAATGAAGCACAGTTCGGTAACTCCCCTAACAGACACTTCCATCTTGGGCGCCTCTTTCTTATAGACAGCTGCTTCGGTCCTCTCTGGGCTCCGAGGCCTTGCTAAAAATAATAGCCTCGCACTACGCACTCGTTTAGTATTTTTGGATGGAAAATATTGAACAATTATTCTTCCAGCCCAAATGGGCTCTAAGTCAAAAGCCCATAAGGCCGAAGGCCGAATAGGCTATTCATTATTTTGAGACGGCCTCGGAGCTCAAGCATTACTCCCTTCGGCATTACCCAACATGCAACAACGGTAAACTCGCCAACTTTTCCAAAGTCAAATGCATGTGATTTCCGTATACACACTTCCCGAATTTCCGAAAAAATCCGACGAAATCAGGATGGTGCCGGAGACATTCCGACGACCTTCAAACAATACAGAACGTTTCCGAAGATTTCCAAAGACTTGCAAACTGTAGCGGTGCGATTCGCCAAATCTTGGCGCCACCTTGCCGAGATTGCGCATTTGTATTTTTGGAAAGATAACCGAGCTATTCTCGTGTTCAAAACTATCATAGCAAATTGGCAACAGCTCTTCAGTTTCCTCTTCAAAAGCCGTTTTGTTCCTCTTCTAACCACAAAAGTGACCGCTCATAAGGAGAAGAAGCGAAGGCATTTGACTTTCGTTACTGCAAAAGAAAAGTGTCTTGGATGTTGAGTTTGAAGAAAGTTTCTTTCCGGTCACGCCATCATTTCAATGTAACGACATGTTACCTGTCAGCAAATATTTTTCGAAGAAATCTCTTCTCGTACCCCGCTACAACGAGCTCACGCTATTAAGAGCACTAACTAGCGATCCTGACGGTGTCCGAAACAACGTGAGTTGACTGCTCCCTAGGTCCATCGCGGTCATGAACGTCTAGGGCGTTTTCTTGTGTTATTAGCTGGGATTTCATTTACCGGTTACTAGAAACTTGGGCAAAGATGTATAAATAACAAATTAACGTAAGTATCTTTTCGTTTTCTTGAAATATTGAGCCTCGTTTCGTTGAAAACGTTTCGCCCCCGAATAGTCTTATGCTGGCAAAATCGCGCCGACCATAACAACAGTTTCAATTTTTAAACACTTAGAAACATGTTTAGTGAACTTTCAAAACGTTTAGTAAATTAGCAGTGTATTGGTAATATCTCAAACTTGCAATACTTAAAGTAAAGACAACCTTAGTTTTGAAGTACTTTGCTTAGCTTTTCCAAGTTCCCCTTGTTTGACCTCAGTGGATGCCCAAGGTGACTTACGTCCCCTCCTCCGTATCAGAATCTCAGATCCGTTATCGCTCGCATTTGTTGCAATTTTGAGAAAAGCGGTTGTTTCTGGCTGTTGGCCATGGTGCCAGTTAAATGAAGCACAGTTCGGTAACTCCCCTAACAGACACTTCCATCCTGGGCGCCTCTTTCTTACAGACAGCTGGTTCGGTCCTCTCTGGGCTCCGAGGCCTTGCTAAAAATAATAGCCTCGCACTACGCACTCGTTTAGTATTTTTGGATGGAAAATATTGAACAATTATTCTTCGAGCCCAAATGGGCTCTAAGTCAAAAGCCCATAAGGCCGAAGGCCGAATAGGCTATTCATTATTTTGAGACGGCCTCGGAGCTCAAGCATTACTCCCTTTGGCATTACCCAACATGCAACAATGGTAAACTCGCCAACTTTTCCAAAGTCAAATGCATGTGATTTCCGTATACACACTTCCCGAATTTCCGAAAAAATCCGACGAAATCAGGATGGTGCCGGAGACGTTCCGACGACTTTCAAACAATACAGAACGTTCCCGAAGATCTCCAAAGACTTGCAAATGTAGCGGTGCGATTCGCCAAATCTTGGCGCCACCTTGCCGAGATTGCGCATTTGTATTTTTGGAAAGATAACCGAGCGCGGATAAGTGCTCCAACCCCCAAAAAACACCCGGTCAAAGCAGGCACGAAACAAACCACAATCTACAGCAGTGTCACAATGTAGCAATTTATTCTTTGTCCAAAACAAATCTAATTTTACTTGTGTCTGAAAGAATCATTATCACATTTGCCGTATGTACAATAAGAATCTTATCTGAAACTATGAAGTGTGTGTGCTTCAAAAGCAATGTTGTCATAAATAACTCTACAGTAATATCATTATTACAAACTGCACTGGGTGCAGGGATAACATTTTCTATCATTGTATTATTACGAAGATTTCTTCTATCAAAGATAATAATAATGAAACTACAGCAGCTTAAAAAATTAATAATCCTTGCGGCTTTTAGTGGCAATTACCAAAAAGTGGAATTTCGTTTTGTGAGTAACGAGCCTGTGAAAAGTGGCATACAATTTAAAGGCCTCAGTTCGCTATAAGTTCGGCAGATGATCATTAAAAAACAGTAACCAGGACTGGGGCCTAAAATCGACGAGGAAAACACTCTCGTCGCAAGTCTGTCAAATCATGTTATAAAATCAGCAATTTTCACGAGGACTTTACCATCAACCACCAGAATCCTAGGGTAAAAATCAAGGATATTGACGTTTCAATTACACTACAATTACAAAACGTCAAAAAGGAACTAGAAACAAAACGATTTTCTGTGGTTGAAGTAACTTCAAGGCATCGTGAAAAGAGCAATTTTATGGAATTGACAGAGCAAGTGAGGGGGAAGGCATAGACTGGTAAAAATTGCAGTGGCAACCTCGTTCCCGGGTCTTTTCTGTTCCTCCCTAGAGGAACTGGGAACGAGGTTGCCACCTCGAGCAGACTAGGAAGAGTGGTCGTTGTCGACACGAAGTATCTCCGAGTGTCTCGTCTCGTTAGCGAACTTCGGGTTGATCTGAATTAGAGGGAGAGAGGGCGCGGCCCTCATCCTTATCACCACCACTTTGCTTGTATCAATTAGCTTGCCCCATGAACAAACCTGCTCGCTAAATTAAAGAGGCTCATTAGATCGCTATTTAATGAAAATGCGGTCTTTTAAATGTGCGGTTGCAGTATAATTCCCTCGGCTTCTTAATAGGGTCGCATTATGGAGCTAAACCATTTGACTACTCCGAACACAACAGACAACTACAAATTAACAACAATAATAATAATAATAATAATAATAAAAAGTTCCTGAGGCCAAACATGAATGAGTTCGTATCATTTGATCAGCAACAAACAAAAAAACCTCTTTTTTAATAATTAACTCATAGTGCTGCACAAATCCAATCCCTCATCTCTTTATGGGATCAAAGAAGCTTCCGTTCTAAGCTTTTCTGCTTCTTTCCGAAAAATCCTTGTGCTGCGATTGATTTTAAAATTACTTATACAAAATTAATTTGACTTGAAAATTTTGCCAAGGGCTGCCGGCAGCTGGTGCTAAATACAATCGTCTGCTTTTTTAACCAAAATTAGTGCTTACCTTGCAAATAGCCAAGCAATTTCCATTCCAAAACAGAGTTAGGATATTTGCTTAAAAAAAAAGTCTCAGCCAAGCTTGTGAAAACTGAAAATTCACAGCGGAAGCTAACTTACTCGGGTAACATTTGTTAATCTATCAAGTACTAATTTGATTTTCTTTTTAAGCCAGACTATATTTTATATATATTAATTTATATTTAATTTGAACTGTCTATAGATATCAAATAAATAAATAAATAAACAGATTACAGAAAGACTTTTGTAAAATTGGTTATCAAAAGCAAACAAATTTGCTCGCGTCGAAGTCTCTTCCTCGCTTAACTAACAAGAACGCGACGAATTCATTCGAAATTTATTCAATAATCTCCTTTTACTATCTTGACTTGGCTTTGAACATAGCTTCACCTTTCCTCTCGTCGACCTCGTTGAATGCTTGGCGCAGAGAATTTTACAAAACTATTGGCAAGTGAATGGTGCAACGTCCATAAAAGAGACCATTACTTTTCGTTGTATAGCGTGAAGGAATTTGTGGAGTTTCTTCGCCACACTATTTTTCGTAATCCTCTTATTCAAAATTTTATGCCGCGAGGAAGTTTAAATTGCATACTGCAAAAGGGTGGAATCACGTAGGGTCCAACGCTATGGCCCAAAAACTCACGTAATAAGCCCGCACACATGTCTCCAAAGTGACCAATTAGAAGGTAGTGAACGCACGTGATCGTCACGTGTATTTAGGTGCTAGCACCAGTCGTCCTCATCACCCATGTCTTCTAGACCGTATATAGCGTAAGGGCTTTGCCCGCTTCGTATTGCCATGGCAATGTGTTGGTTCATATTCGGATGATAGCCATTTTCTAGAACACTGTCGCCCCGGTTTTCCGGGAGCGCTGGTCCTTTACCGGTCAAAGAGAGTTGAGATCCAGTGCGAGAACCAGGCGTCTGAGGCAATTGACGCCGATGAGGACCGGCTAGAGATGTGGTCACACCAGGACCACGCCCTTCATTTAGAGACGTTGTAGAGTGGTGAGCTACCGGAGGCATTTGTTGGGACGGGTAGCGGGATCGGGTCGGGCTCTCCATTACCTATAGAAGAGCAGAAGAAAATTTTATTTAAGAATGGGCCATAATAAAAACCCGTCAATGGGTGTCGTGACCAATTATGGAACTTTCCAATCTTCGGGGACCAAAACCATTCACACGGAAGCACCATAACGGTACTAAAATTTAGACGCCTAGCCGTTCCTAAATTTGACCGCCAAAATCGAGGTTAAATTTTTCGTCGCGGGTAAGGTCGGGTAAGTATTGTACGGCAAAGGCGTGGTTGCATGGATGCGCGGTAACTCAGCTGGGAAATGTCATTTTGGACTCGCTAAAGTAGCGCTCTGTAGACTTCCCTCTTTAAGCGAGGCCTCAGCTCTTTAGGCTGCCAGGCTGCGCATTACGGTGGGTTCGTTCCAGTTCCTTGGAAACGGCAAAAAAAAAAAAAAAAAAAAAAAAAAAAAAAAAAAAAAAAAAAAAAAAAAAAAAAAATATAATATATAAAAAAAAAAAAAAAAACAAAATAATATAACAAAAAAAAAAAAAACAAAATCCACCCAACACAAAAAGATATTTATATTTATTATAATAAAATATTTTGGTTTTTTGTNACCGTTTATCTACATACACGACCCGAGGACAGTAGCAGAAGTAACAGTAAACAACAGACGCTCACCCCAATAAAACGCGTTATTATATAGATACCGATGAAATACCACGATTTTTCCTTTTACTAAAAAATCATATCTTCATCGCGCGCAGTGAAGATACTATTTTTATCTTTCAGATGTGAGGATGTTGGTGTCGCCCTGGTTACTAACATGATTAGCCAATTATTGTCTTTATTTCTACTTTACAACTTTATATCCGGGTGTGACAGGCATTTTGCGAGAGGTGACCGCTTTAATTGCACTATTTTGCTGTTTCGAAAATGAATAAAAAAAAGTTGTGTTTTATGTAGGAATTTCATCAGTATCCTTAAAATAAACAGAACATTACATGGCCGCTTGGGTAAGGTTCTATGCAACCGAGTCCAGGCTTTCAGCCAGCCGCTATAGCACCACATCTCAACAGAGTACACTACAACATCAGACTAGAGAACAAAGTCAGGGGTATAAAGGGTATACTGCAAGAAAATTACTCAGTTACTTTAAACTGATCAGTCTTACCTGGTGATTAGGGTGATAGAGGCCCTGCACGGAACCTGAGTGATACGGCGGACCATCAGTTAAACTAACTGAAACTTCTTGCATTTGAAGTCCCTGGCAAAAATGAGTTGTGTACATCAGCCTTGATCGAAATAATTCACTCCTTTTTTTATCATTATATGCACTACCTTAAAAATCGCAAACGTCCGGGAGTTGTACACTTATAAAAAATTACAAAGGCAGCAGGAAAGTTAGGATTCAAGATCACTGCTATTTTAGGGTACGGATCCGAAAAAACGTAAACCTGGGGTCGATTTAATAAAACCCTTACCACTGTAATTTACAAGCGTAGCTATTGTTTTCAGACTCTAAAACATTGGCTACACTTGCAAAAGTTTTATTAAATTGACCCCTGATAACAATATGAGGCCCCCAAAAAAACAATAATGATTAAAAAAACCGTCGTTACGAATCGCTCCGTGTAACATCGCCTTCAGTATTCATTTCGGATCGTTTGTTTCTTTCGTCGCAACCGAATCAAAAGATTTGTGATATGAAGAATCTAATGCTCCATTCTTTCAAAGAAACGCAACCAAACCTTCTATTACATCTTCATGATTCCTAGTTTGCCTTCATTTACCCCATGTAAAGGAATCCAAGACAGTCTTGAACTCTGGATTCCACGCCGTGGATTCCGGATTGTTTGTCAGTGGAACTTGGATTCCGAATTCCAATCGTTAGTGGGATTCCCGTTTCCTTGAGCTGTAACGCGGACTCAAAAACACAGGATGCCGGATTCCACGGGTTCCCTTACATGAGGCAACTGAATGTTCCCAAACCTTACTACTTTCACTCCGCTCTCAAACATTCCACCATACACAATGAAATCTACGAAGTCATGAAGTTATTGCTGATTGTGTTGGACCTCATTGGAGGATACAGAAAAATTATGGAAAGAAAAGACACTAATCTACTGTGACGACGCGATGCGGTGGTTATGTCAGCCCACAGTTGACCCGCTCGCCACTGACTTCTCAGTAGCTCAGTGGTAAGAGCATTCGACTAGTGTACAGAAGGTCGTGGGTTCAATTCCCATCTGGAACTCAGAATTTTTTTCTGTGTTCTTCTCTCCACGTATGCCGTATCATTTCATTTATTATACTAATCTAAAGAAAAGCAAAAAAAGTCAAAACTTGGCCAACAAACACGCTTCCACGGTCGTACGAATATCGGTCAAGTGATCTCGTGCTGGGTGAAGCATGTTTCATTTGTTTCAGTTGGTCTGGTTTCCATGCAATAAAAACCATTTTATAACAAAGGAAATGTTAAGCAAGAAAACACGTAAGAAAACCCGTTAGAGTCGGGAATACGGAACTAAATAGCAGCAAGATCGAGGAGATAGAAGAAAGAAAGAGAAGAGCATCTTCGAGAATGCTTATTATTTCATTTATTTTATTATTTATTAAATCAACTGTTAGGTAAGCCCTATGCACCCATCAACAAAAATAATTTCTTGTAGCCAAACCTGTTGTACTGTGAAAAAAAAAAAGCAAAATTCATTCATCGTTAATTAAGGTGCTATAAAGGACGAAAGGATACATGAAGGTTCGATCTGGTGTGCTGGATTGAAGTTTGATGCATAAGGCTTACCATTGGCTTAAAGAGTTAGAAAAAAGACATAAAAACGTCACTGATTTTATTTGTTAGTATTAAAAACGACTGAAAGTTTAAAATTACTTGAAAATAATGCGCGTTTTAAAGGAAGAAACGTTTAAAGTTAGCAGAGTAGATGAGTTTTAAGTTAGTTAATAGCAGAAGGGACGAACTCTTGGCTGGATAACCAGTGACCTGGATAAAGTTACTGTCACCAAACACAAAATGTTTAGGTGCAAGATTACGCGATGGAGTAAGAATTAAACACTTCAGTCTATACCTCTCCTAATTCAGGGTCGTTTTCTCGTCGTAATTTCTGGAACATAGATCCGCCAACAAAGCGACTCAGAACAGTTCCCTGAGAAATTAACGCCAGTTGACAGTGATGAGGAAAAATAAATTAAACCAGAAAAGGCAATAGGGCTCAGTGCGTGTAGCCAATCTAGGCGAGGGGAGCAAATGAGTCTACTGAAATGCAAAATTTTGTAGGGAAATTTATTTAAGATGTAGAAATATGGCTGCCGAGGCAGTTTATGACGTATTGATGCTGTTTATTTTGCTCAGCGTGCAAGGTGGCACACAGTGAAGGTATAGAACGTATGACTAGTCAAATGAAAGCTACTGAACAGTCATGTGGTAATTCTAAACTTTGAGGATGTGGATAAAACCCTAACGTNCTTGAAAATAATGCGCGTTTTAAAGGAAGAAACGTTTAAAGTTAGCAGAGTAGATGAGTTTTAAGTTAGTTAATAGCAGAAGGGACGAACTCTTGGCTGGATAACCAGTGACCTGGATAAAGTTACTGTCACCAAACACAAAATGTTTAGGTGCAAGATTACGCGATGGAGTAAGAATTAAACACTTCAGTCTATACCTCTCCTAATTCAGGGTCGTTTTCTCGTCGTAATTTCTGGAACATAGATCCGCCAACAAAGCGACTCAGAACAGTTCCCTGAGAAATTAACGCCAGTTGACAGTGATGAGGAAAAATAAATTAAACCAGAAAAGGCAATAGGGCTCAGTGCGTGTAGCCAATCTAGGCGAGGGGAGCAAATGAGTCTACTGAAATGCAAAATTTTGTAGGGAAATTTATTTAAGATGTAGAAATATGGCTGCCGAGGCAGTTTATGACGTATTGATGCTGTTTATTTTGCTCAGCGTGCAAGGTGGCACACAGTGAAGGTATAGAACGTATGACTAGTCAAATGAAAGCTACTGAACAGTCATGTGGTAATTCTAAACTTTGAGGATGTGGATAAAACCCTAACGTGCGATCAAGCAAGTGATAGCAACTGACTAGTGCTTTTTTGTGGTGCTGTTTACTGTGCTGTACAAGGAGCTTCTCCCGTTTGTAGATAAAATCCACAAATGTGGCAGAAGAACAAAAAAAGAATATGAATAAAACAGCCACAACAACAACAACAAAACTGCAGAAAAACAGAAGAGTATCAGAGAACAAAAGGTAAAGACAAAGTAAAACCTACCTGGTCGGCATCCTGCTCCAAGGTAAGAGAAAGAGAGACAGAACAAAAAGAAGATAAGAAGTGCAATAAAATCAACTAATAATGAAGTGTTCGTGTTGTTTGTGACAGACAGTTACTCACTATAAACATATGAAGAAGCCAAGAAGGTCCTGGCCAAAAGTGAAACAACATTTAACAGGAAAGCACTGTGAAAGAGGACTTTGACAAATGCCTGGTAGGAAGGGGGTTCGAGTTTACATAGTGCTTTCCTGTCAAATGTTGCTTTCTACAACAGTTAAGTATTTTATGCAGCCCCTACGCTTATCTTTAGCCTACTTTGTCAATCTAACCAGGAGGATATAGACTACTTCTTAGAAAAATCTTGGGACCTTTGACAGCAAGCCACCGCGCAACAAGTGAGGCAAATTCATGAAGTGCAGCGAAAACCATCACGGTAAGGTTTAAAAAACGCAAAGGAACTTGGAAAGGCTAAATGTGAACAGAAAGGCTTCTTAGTTATCATCCTTCCCATGACCTCTTGTGCTGCGATTACCGTCAAAAATCCCAAGAAGCACTCGGATACGACGCAGGGGTAGGAAGAGTTGAAGGAATAAACGACAGAGCTAGTTATCATCGTGCTATCTGTATTCTGCGATCAAGTACTATGTTTTGAATGTACTTCTTGTCATACTACAGTTAAATCTCTTTCTTTGAAGTTAGGTTTTAAAAGCTTATCCTTAAGTTACAGATTATTTTACCAGAGCCCTTGGTTCCCTCGATCATCGGTTCAGAACACAACAACCGCTGACCAAAAGAACAAAGGCGACTCTGAACTTGTTTCTTAAAGATATTTTTTTGGTGTCACTTTACAGGTTAAAGGTTTATTTTGACGTTACTGTAACTTGTGGTTTAATGCATTATACTTTCGTAAACATTTTTAGAGTATTTAGTTTAGGATACCTTATAATTTTACTTTGAGGAAAAACGTATTATATTTATTTTAATGCTACTAGAAATATTTAAAATAAAAGTTAATATTGGATTAGAGATATGATAATATTGTAAAAGGAAGAAAGAAACAAGGAAAGACCGCAGGAGAAACTAAAAGCACAGCTGAAAGGGCGTTGGGCAGGCAAAGTTAGGCCTGAAGCACAATAATGACGTCACGATCCAAGAAAAAGAACTGGAAGGGAAAAACAGCGCGGTAAACAAGCCCACGGTAGAGCCCAGTCCTGTCCGGTAAAAGGCAACGATATTCTGCAGTCTCTACTGGATAATATTGAAAGGATCAAAATGTGATCGTTTTATTGTAAATACATGCTCTGAGCTCTGAAAATATCATTACAATTTTAAAAACTAGGGTTCTTAAGGCCTGTTTATGACGAATTACTCACCGACTAGAACCCAAAATCTGCTAATCTCTTTTACTGAGACGCTTTTTCTTATATTTGACAAAATTTAAGGACACTTTGAGGTCAGATTCGTGCTTGACCAATCCTACCTACTGACCAAGCAATTGCACAGTTGGACTGACCAAAACGATCTTTATCATTTCATTCTAATCAACCCAGAACTGCCCCTGTAAAACAAAAAATCAACTTTAACAGCTTCTTGTCTATTTTACCTTATTCTGTACCTCTCCTTTCCGCCTCATAAACTTGTAGTTTTCGTAAATTAATTTCGCACAATATATTTTTCCCACGGTCATTTGCGGCTGCTGATTCGCTTGATTTGCTGGAAAATAAAATATTGTAAAAATTATTACCTCTTTAAAAGAAATATATAATAAACATGACTACATGAAGTCGCATGCATTACATCTCAACAGATCATTTTCACATGACGTCACGGAGGCCATATTGGTGTACAAAACAATAACTCGGCGGCCATGTTGGTGTACAAAAAATTTCTGTCGGATTGAACTAATTTCGTATGTAAATTATTTCTTTTGTTACAAAAAATGATCATAGTTGCTGACGTGAAAACGATCTACAAAGCATGAGCATGATGTAAGTAGAACGTGTACTTTTTTGGTATTTTATCCTTGGTTTGGTAATTTGTTGTTACCGATAGTCTGCATAACAGGCGCTTTATGAGCCAAGCGAGGGGAACGCGGCATTTTGCGCAAAGCGCGAGACGAGGGGAGGAGCAAAATGCCGCGTTTGCCTCGCTTGGCTCATGAAGTACCTGTTATGCAGGTTATGTTACCCACGACTTTTACCCGCACTGGCTGGCACCCGTGACTTTCACTCGCGACCCGCAACCCCCAACATTTAGTAAAACTCCATTATGACACAGTTAACTTGACCTGAAGTATCATCATAGCACACGAGAGAATTACTTGACATTGCCGGACTTCATAGCGTGGGGGATTGGGTAGGAGTCCGAGTATTGTGGAACTATGAACACAAGACCCACACTGTTTAGTGTTAGAAAGAGCACACCGAGTTTTGCACAATTCTCAAGTTTGGTGTTTATCGGGTCAACATTGACAGAGATATATCCATTCAAAAATTGCAAAATTAACGATGAAAGTCCGAACAAGGGTCAACAATCCATATGCATTTCTTAGTAAATACTCAAGTCTTTCCGTTGGAGTAAACTGTATTGGCTCTTCCTCGGTTCGGGCTCATTCAAGATAGCAAATTGAGACCCTTACAGCGGAGCAACAAAGAGTTTAGTACCAGGCGCATTCTCAGTGCCCACATGCCGCTCCGTTGAGCAAGCCCCAGAGTTTTACAAAGCTGGACAGCGCTATCCACTGGATAAAAGTCAGGAAACTGACTGCGCTATCCGCTACGTAGAGATTTATCAAGCCGATACCGCTATTTACCTTTTGAACAACTGGAACCCGAAGCAAAAAAACAACAACAACGACAAAAAAACAGTATTGCTCATGCGCATAATAGGGAGCTTAAGCAGCGACGTTTTCGAGCGACACACGTCAACCGGAAGTGAGCCTTTTTCTCTTTTAGTAAGCCTTTACGCTACCGTATTTGTATTGCCATCTGCCCAAAAATTTGTTCAGAATCACGGCTCAAGTGTGCAAAAAGTCCATTTCCGGTTGACGTGCGTCGCTCAAAAACGTCGCTGCTTAAGCTCCCCATTGTCTTTCCCTGCTCTCAAAGTTTCAAAATTTTTTATTGATTCTTACCATTGTTTATGAGACTTGGAGGTTTTGGAACAACTCTGTCCAAGGTCTTCTTTGTGAGTTTCGGCCAGACTCTTTTCAACATGGCTCTCAATTCTTTATCGTTTTCCTTAAGATTATCTGAAAAGAAAGAAGAATTTTAAATATTGTCCTTGGTCTGAATTTCGTAGATGCTGTCCATCTTGAGCAGGTTTTTCTTGGTGCTGCACAGAGTTGTTTCAATATTTTGTATTATGTCAGTTGGTGATAAGACCGTTTGCATAAGTCAAATCATTTAGCTTAAAAAGACAATTACGTGGACGAATTTAGCTCTTACGTCCGAGCAGAGTGGTCCAAAAGTCGACCTTTTTTTGAGCGAAGAAAGTCGCGAGACTCAAGTCAAACCAATGAGCCAACCAAAATATCTCAGTTCACAGCTTATGTGTAATACAAAACAGGAACAATGAGAAAGACAGAGAGCAATCTTACTTTTCTCAGTCATTATCTTGAGCGAGGTCCGCACCAGGGCAAATAGAGTAGCCGTAAATGTGACCGTGTTATCTGGGTACAGCGGCATGTTCATCTTAATCAGGCGCTGAAAAAAAAAAGCGCAGGGTTAAGTAAACTTTAGTTTACAAATCTATAATGACAACCCTAACAGTCAATCAAACCTAACTCTTTCGCAATCACTAGACCTGTAGTCATTGCTTTAACCCTCATAATCACACTAATCGCTACATGGTCAATCCGCTCCTTACTCTATAAAGAATTGCTTTGTGTAGGCATCAAAAGGTGTCCAAGGTCAAGTGTGCCTTCTGTCAAACCAAAAAAATTAATTTAATTTTGCCACATGGAATTTACTCATTTTTATTTTTTCTAGATGGATCTCTACAACTAAATATTAATTCACTTTGTTATTTGCCTAGTTCTCAGTTGCTCGCTTTCTTCTTGTTATTGATTAAAGGGACTTGACTCCCCAATATTGATGGCACAGTTCCCAACCCGCTCCTCCAGCCAAAAAACAAACAAATTATTATGTTTTAGCTCTGTAACATAGCAGCTATGACACTCAAGCAACTGAGACTTGCCAACCTTGTAAGCGACGATCTTAGGACATTTCTTGCCGATTCCAACTGGAGGAGACATTTGTCTTAACAACTGACAAACTTCTGTGTGCTTTATACGACCCCTGAAAAAAACAAAAAAAACAAAAAAAAACAAAGGAAATTTAAAAAAACGATAAACAATAAAATAAACAAAGACACAAACAACAAGCACACCAACAAAAAGTACTAACAACAGATATAATGAAGACAAATATATATCGCAACTTACGTGGCTCCAGGATCAAACTCAGACCACACGCGGACAAACTCGTCCAGGTGGTGTGGGCCGAGAATGGATTCGTCACGTGTAAGGTACTCAAAGTTGTCCATGATAACAGCCACAAAAAGATTAAGGAGCTAAAAACAAAGTGAAAAGACATGTTAAACGGTTTAAAGCCAGTAATAAATTAAACTGTCATATGCAGCTTCGTTCATGCGAAGTGAACTAGGCAATACCTTACCGTAGAACTAAGCATTGAGAAAAGTGTCATATTTAAGCCTCGACGCTGATGTTGTTTGTTACGCTGTACAAGGTGTTCTCATTACCAAGCAGTGATACACAGTGCCGAGTACTGTTTCTTTTTTTATGGATATGCGACTCTAAATTGAATTCTCCTAACGACCATTAACATTTTCTCGTGTGAATAATAATTGTTTTGCCATGGCCCCGTTCACACACATTCGGACGTTTTTGAAAACGGATATCATTTCTCCGTTTTATAGGAAGTGACATGTAGGGTTGAAATATCTCTAAGTATTGCTGTACACATCGAGAAATTCCGTGTTATACATAGTGATGGAAAATGCTTTGCACACAATAGGCTGATTTAGCAACAGAACGGAACGTCAGTTCACAACGGCTCGCGCAAATCACACATCTGGCTTGACCAATGGCAGAGCGGCAAATTGGGCACCGGAAGTCGTGTTTAGTCCTTTCCGCGCGTTTTGCCGTCGCCAACTAACGTTCCCGTCCTATTGCTAAATCAGCCTAATGTATTTTTGGAAGTTTTTGATGTAATAGCGTAAATTTGAATTCTTGTACTCACCAGGAAAGAACAAAAGAAGATAAAGGAAATGAAGTAAACGTAAGTGAAAGCGCTGCCACATGTGCCTGGTGGATCCACCACCCTGGGATCACACACTGCACCGCTTTGACACGCTAACATGATCAGTTGCCAGTTTTCACCCGTAGCAGACCTATGAATAGGCAAATGCGTTGCACGTTAGCGAAAAAAGCACAGGAGGCCGGAGCGGTCACAGTTTGGCCTGACGATATCAAGACCCTTGTGAAAGGGCAAGGACCTCGATACCGTATTCTCTCAATTTTATTATCCCTAGTATACCCCGTATTTATTTAAAGCTGCAGTCTATTCGGGTCCACTAATTTGTAAGAAATGGTTGTTATTCTTTTTTCATGACAGCCGTGCAACTTGATGTTAGTTTCTCATAACATAAAAATTGTCTGAGAGCTTTATTTACAAATTCGTGTTTAGACAGGGTGTTTCTTCGAAAAATTACTGTACGTTACGCGATAATGTAAAGACGTACATCAAGAAGCGTAACAAGTCAATACGAAAATACCAACGTGGCAACGGAAAAAAAACCTACACAAATATCATGACAAAGTTAACGTTGCATTGTCAAGAAACGACGGTGAACGCCGGCAGGAAGTCTGACAAGACAACGTGACAACACGAAGGAACAAAAGTGCATGTAGGCAAGGAGCATGACAAGAAAACGCCACAATATCAAGGGCTTACAGCGCAGGCAGGCAGGCAGAAAGCGTGACAAGAAAACGTGACAACACGAAGGAACAAAAGTGCATGTAGGCAAGGAGCATGACAAGATAACGTCACAATATCAAGGACTTACAGTGCAGGCAGGCAGAAAGCGTGACAGGAAAACGTAACAATATCAAGGAATTTCAGCAAGAAGCATAATAAGTCACGGCAAAACTAGATTATATTTAAACTCGTTTCCATATTTAGACACCGGGCCACCCCCTTTATCTGAAGGTCTAGATCCGCCACTGGTATTGGTAGTCATTTTATCATTAGAAAGAGAACTGAAAGAATGGAGCTCTAGCCTGCGAGCAAGCTCTCCTATTTGGGCGAGTCAAGCGAGTCTCGCGAGAACGCGCGAGCGAGCGGCGAAGCCGCGCTCGGCCCTTGCTCGGACGTTCTCGCGAGGCTCACTTCGTTTGCCCAAATAGGAGAGCTTGCTCGCAGGCTAATGAAGCTCCTGTTAACAGTTTAGAACAAAACGCTACTAGGGGTTTTGTTCTAAAGTGATCAGAGTATAATCTTATTATTTTTTGTAAATTACTGTCATACCTGAAAAGCACTTGGAGAGCCTCGGGAAATGACTGGAAGTTATTTCGAGCTTTAATCTCACTCCAGGGCTCACCAAGGTCGTCGTTATCCGTGGTGATCTGACCAAACATCTACAGGATAACATTCAGAGGTTGAGTATGCATCATTTTTACGGCAGAGACAAGAAATAGTCAAATAGTCATAAACTAGTATTTGTTGTCTACCTGACCTTCATGAAGAGTTCAATTAACGTTAATTTGTCATGTTTGCACTTAAGTCTTTGACGCAAAACCTGTTTCGTAGAAAACCCTGTTACGATGGACGCAATGACGGTATGGCGATGCCACCATAACGGGTCAAAAACGGGTCACAGGCTGGTCAACTACGCTGTACTATGAGGGAGTGGTAGAGGCAGGGGGGTGGGGGAGTAGGGGGAAGGGGATTAGTGGGAGAGGGACTTCAGGTACACAGTGATGTAGAGGAGTGATAGGGGACAAAAATCACATCCAGGTATTAAAATCCAAAAGTTGAAATTTAAAGTGAGCAGCTATCCCACACCCCCCCAAAAATATACATGTATACACTTGCTCAGAGCCTTGGTCTTATTCCCAAAATCTTGAAATCACGAATTTTAAATTAAGCCAATCCCCCTTCGATCATCCCTTCACTTGGATATCTTGAGTACCCCAGGGGTTCAATCGCCCCCTCTCACTCGGATGATCTTGAGTACCCCTGATCGATCATCCCCATTAATCGGATATCTGAAGTACCCCTTGGGTTCGATCATTTCTTCATTAAGAAATCTGGACTACCCCTGGGCGTAAGAGGCTGGTTCCACTTTTGCGTGATGCGTTGCGTGACCTCCTAATGTTGCATTACATACCTGCATACCAATGACAGCGTAAATGAAGAAAAGCAACCCGATCAGCATGCCTACATATGGTAACGCCTAAATGAAACACATAGGTTGACATCAGTGAATCGACAATTTTGAACGACACTTGAACATCTTTTCCGTTCCTTGATTCAAATCTATTTAATAGCATTATTTTCCCAACGAGTTGTCACTTGGATCATCTTTCTCACTTTCTTCTTCCAGTGTTCTCCAGTGGAAGTATGGCATTAAAGGTGTAATTGATATATTGGGATGTGGGAAATAAAAGCCTCGTTTTACCCAAAACGCCATTTCCAGGTTGCTCCAAGCCTCTGTTTCGATGCGAGGCTAAGTTCGAAGCCACTGATTTGAAAATGATTTTGTATTCTCATGCCAAATCTCATTTTCACATAAAGAGGTTTCGCACCAAGCCTCGTTTTGAAAGTGAGAGTTTTTGGAACTCGGAAACGGCCTATTCCGTCCAGTGATCGTTATCAAGACACGATCTCTTTACCGTAGACTCCGTACTGGGCGGAAGTTTACAATTTTTCGTCAAATAGTGTTTACTTCAATGACCAAAAAAAATCAGCACCCCTCCCCACCCAGGAAAGGTTGGTTCCTTTGTTGTTTCTCACAGGCAACTTGGGCAGCGGTACAACATTGTTTAGCGGAAGTAAGAAAGGGGAGCTTGTTGTTTCCTCTTTGAAGAAAACAGTATTGACAAAACATGGAAAATGTAGTTGAAGACAAAGTGTCTCTACTATTTTGCTGTTGCCAAAACACAGCTTTACTGCACATTCTTCCTAGTGGGTGATGTTGCTAGTAACCGTTTATACACTTTGTTAAAGAAAGACAGCCTGGAGCAAAGTTGCTGGTATCAAAACAATGGCTATGCCTCTTTCCACTGGTTCGTCAGTGTGACGGATGCCTGGTATGGGGGCGCATGGCCGGGTTGCTGGGATTTGCCATGTGGCGGATTCTATCCAAGGGCTGGGTGGCCATAGTGAAGTCCCCTAGATACCACAGGCACCCACCTCCCATTTAGCGCGGTAGCCGGTTAACAATGAAAAACGGTGAACTGTGAAGAGCCTTTCATAATAAACACAAACGGTAAGGTAAGTGTAACATTTACCTTGAAGGACTGCAGAAATGTCCAAAGCAAGATTCTAATAGTGTAACCTTGCCTCAGCAGCTTAATCAACCGCGCCGCCCTGAACAAACGGAAGAGACTGGGATCAAAGGGCATCTGTTGATTATCCTTTTGTAAAAATAGATATCGAAAACGTAAGTTCGTTACTTCAAAGGGGCTATGCCACGAGTCTTTAATACTAGTTCAAAACCTTAAGAACAAAACTGAGTCAACAAAAACCCTGAAATAATGGTTCAGTTTTATTTAAAATTACTTTATTAATTAATTACTTTAAATAGGTTCTTATATTTTCATATGAATTTCATCTGAATATACTATATATATTATAAATATCATCTCATAATACAGTATAAATCATTTATTTGTACCATAGAGCAATGCCTATAGGTAGTTCAATGCAGGTAAAGCATATGTCCTTAACAAAACAGAACAAAGAAAGTTTCTACCTATACACTTTTACAGCAACCCCACTTTGATAAGAACCTAACTTAAAATTTTAGTTTAAATAGGTTCCTATGTGGAGCCTAACAGGTTCTTAAAACTCAGGTTCTTATACGCGGGCTATTACTGTATACATGTTTATCTCTGGCTTTCGATGGCCATGGTGGAAGCAAATTACATCTTGAAAATATTGGGCCAACCATTTCAAGTTAAGCACCTGTATTGTCGAAAATTGACTATAAACCGATCATGCTTTGTTTTCCCTTTGTTAGAATCATTTCATATCTTCCTGTTTCATTTCCAAGTATGACTGAGATAACACTACTAAGAATATCAGGTTATAACTCCAGTTCAGCTTTGAGCACAACATATGGAAGTCACATAAACAAAGCCCCCTTAATGTAAAGGGTATAATGCAAGCCTTGAAAAAAAAAAGTCGTCGACACAACTTCCACGCTTTTTTCTACCATTTTTACGTTTATTCCCGGGATAAAAAAGTAAAGATAAACACAAATCAATCACCCTGCCGCGGCAGTGTTAGCTCAGTCTGTAGAGCGTGTTGACTGCAGAGCGGGAGGTCGCGGGCTCGATTCCTGGGGCCGGACCAATACTCAGGGTCTTAAAATAACCGACAAATGAAGGTACTCCCTTTGCACTGCAACAGGCTAGACCTTCGCGAGGCTCGGATGACCACGTAAAATGGCGGTCCCGTCTCCAGTTGGAGACGTAAAATATAGTGTCCCCAGTTAGTACTTTCGTGCTAAATACATTGACAATCAAATAAAAAGTGCCAAGTGCAAGTGCATTAAATCAGTGTTTTGCTTACCAAGCTTACGGTGAGGGCGAAGTCCAGCAAGCTTCCCAACACAATGATAAAATCGAACACGTTCCAGCCGTCTCGAAAGTAATTCTTTAAAGAGATAATTAAGCACAAAAGAATATCAGGATGGCAATGCTTGATTTTCCATGACTAATAAACTCACTAAAAGCCTTGTGATGTTACAGGTTTGCCACAAGGGCTTTTGATATAACGGGCTTACACCCACACTAAACATACGATAAGATTTATAGCCTGCTAATCTTTTGTTTCATTTCTTCTCTTGTCCCGGTGAAGGTAACAAGTTATTGAGCCCACCACAGCCAGAGGTTTTAGCGGTCCTTGTTAAGAGTCCTCATTTTGGTTAAGAGCTGCCATTCTTTTCCGCACAGACATCCCCAAGAAAGCCAGTAAAAAAGCAAGAAAGCCAGTAAAAAAGGTCACCATTCTCAGCGTTAGTGCAAGCAAAAAAAAAAAACCCTTCGCGCAAAAGTCTGAATCTAGAGAAAAAAAAGTCTTGAAAAGAAACTTTTTTCTTCACACTTTTTTAAAACAGGAATTTCATGTTTTCTTAATTGGTTTATATAAGCAACCGGAAATCCCAGAGTAATCGGATCAGGCTTGAGTTTTTCGCTAATGCGCGGTGCGTTTTGCAGCGCTGTTAGCAAAAGGAGAACGTCTTACCAATCTAAAAGCAAATAGCTTCAATATGGCTTCCCCGGTAAACATGAAAGTGAATATTGTGTTGAAAGTGTCAAGGGTCTTACGATATGGGTCTGGCTCCCTGTAAACCTGAAAAAAAATGAACGGTCTTAGTTATTAGATTGAATGTGAGTACTGACTACAGTCGAATGTCTACTGACGACTTCCTCGCCACACTGAATAGACATATTCGAGAGTTTTTAAAGATGTCAAGTCTGCGAGGGCAAAGAGAACGCTCAAAAAGCAGCAGGTTTTGGCTGTGTTCACACGACAACAGCCTTTTTTTTTTTGACCGGCTGTGTAATTTGCCCGGACACTGCGTTTAAACGGATCTGTTCAATAATTTTGCTCTGTTCACACGGATCTGACGAACTAGGCTGAATTTTAACTTTTCTCAATTGTTTTCCTATCTACCCATCTACCCGTCTTCCACCTTAGTAACCACGCATCCATGCAACTACGCCTTAACAGTCTTTTAACGGTCATAGTGTTCACAGGTTCTAGCGCAAGCTCTTTACACGAAACCTGAATTCCACTGTGCTGTTGTAACAAAAAATGCCAGAATAATTACATTCCGGCGAAGCTCATGGTTTTGGGAAATCGTCCGTTGCACGCGCAGTTCGTGCAAGGAACAAAAGGTTATGTAAAAGTCTCGTTTACACGAAGCTCGACCCGAACGACAATTTTTAAGTTCCGTGAAAACAGACCCAACGCTGTTGACCAACAACCCGCAAATACTGTTGGATGTTACATGTTGCGTCCGTTTGCACACCCTGTTGCATGTTGTTGGGAGTTCTTACGCAAAGTTTGAAACTGGTGAAACTTTTTGCAAACGGACGCAACATTGTAGGCCACCAACTCCCAACATTATTGGCCTAAAACTTATTGTGGTATTTTTTCTCGGTGGCCTTTAGTGAGGTTTCATTGCAACAACC